TACTACCTCATTAAGCCTTGCGTCACTTATTACGATCTGCCAAGGATAACTGCTATTGCTCTCGATTCTCCAGATAATTCACGAGAGTTCGAGAACAATTTAACGGCGCAATCCCGTTTTTACGGAACAACGAATCTTTCGCGCCCCGCAAATTCCCTCATTTTCTGATACACACTATATTACAAATTTTGCATCATGATTATTACGGGAATAAAACTCTAGCCAATAGATTCCATACTTTCTGTGGTGAAAAAAAAAAATAATTTTAACAATTTAACAACTTGTTTCAAAATTGAACTCAATAATTACGAAATTAATAATCTGATAAAATTTAAAATTCCGATAGTTATACTGTTAAATAATCAAACTGTGGTTTAGGGAAATTATAAAACTAGAGAATGCGAACGCGCTACGGCGAGACAACGGTTTATTTTAGCACGACCCAAATCTTCCGAGAATGTGAGACGGAAGTGTAGAAAATTTTTGCAGCTCATTTGTTTCTAAACATTTGTTATTATTGCTATGAAAACATGACCGAGGAAAAGAAAATCTTTGGGCATTGTTGATTAAACAAGCTGCTTCGTAATGGAGCAAAACTTCCTGCTGACGACTCACGATGCAACATCCAGTTTGCGCAATCTCATGGCGAGCGACACGATATTTGAATGCTTGCGAGCGCGATGATCACGTGAGATAAATGAAATCGAGATGATAAGCAATATTCGTTGCAATCGAATCGATATCAAATGGCGCGTATTAATGGACGCGCTTCGCTTGGAAAATTTACGGGATATTGTGTATGCAACTGCAATTTTTTTCATTAACGGAAAACGCATCAACGTGTATTTTTCTCCCGAAATAAAATCGTAAACAAAAATTGCGTGATACATAGAAATCATTTTAACATCATCTTTCCGTGCAGTATACGGGTTTTCGCTTTTTTATATTAAAAAAAAAAAAAAAATAAAATAAAATAAAAAAAAATAGTTTGAAATTAAATTGCAAATAACAATCAACCGCAACTCAAATTCGGAATGGCAATTACGGAAACGTCGGCGGGGCGAGTTGTAGTAGATTGCCATTAAAGAGATCCGTGGTATGGCAAAACAAATTACCGCGCGCAAGAATCGTAATTAAAATACGCGTTGCGAGTCGTCGTGATGTAGCAGTAAATGAAAGCAGATGTTTGCCGCCAGCGAGCGCTTTTACTCGCCGAAAGATTCGCATTTTAAGCTCGACAGGCAGTTTCGGCGTTGAAGTTTTCCTCAGAAAGAATCGCTAATTATCGACGGTGGAAACCCGTCAAGGAACCCTTTTCCTTCTCACTCACTCGCTCACTCACTCGCTCACTCACTCGCTCACTCACTCGCTCACTCACTCATTCACTCACTCATTCATTCATTCATTCATTCATTCACACACATACACACTCTCTCTCTTATTCGATTCTTGTCCCGAGAGCAACAAAGCAAGGGCGACTCGCTTTTACGACGATGGTGTCCGTTAAAAAAAACCACCGCGGCTCATTAACTGGCGCCGGTTCGGGCCGCGCGCCGGTTTCCGCGGAACATATTTTTTTCCCGACCGCGCGAACAGCGCAATAACCATATAATCAACGGCGTCTCTTTCACTCTTTCTTTCTCTCTCTCTCTCTCTCTCTCGCGAATAAACTGCGCGATAAACTGCGCCGACCACTGGCGCGACACGTTGCGGCCGTTTCCCATCGCTTTTCTTCTCGTTTACCAACGATAGAACCCGACACTATACCCTGCGCGACGCGGGAAAATCCACGATCCGCTCTCTCTCCGCACGATAACTCCCCCGCCGCTGCGAAAGTCTCTCTTCCGGCGCGCCCTCATTTGAGATTATCGTTTATTTTGCGCTCCTGAGAAAATTACGAACAGCGTGAGACGGAAAACACCGACGACCTCATTCGAGCAACCCAGTTCTCAACTAAACCGAAAATTGAAAGAAACTAGAAACACTCGATTGCACCGCGGCTAAGAATTACACGTATATTCGTTGAAGACGGGATACTTTCTTGTAAAATGACAGTCGTTTATTCTGATGGAGATAGTCTTTGCGATGAGATTATCTATTACGACAAAAAAAAAAAGAGTGCAAGAGACAACTTAATTGCTCGTAGATCGGAAAAACTATACGCCATTAACGTTCGTGATAGATATCCCCGGTCATTTGTCATTACCGCAATTTTTTACTCGTTCAATATTCAGCATCAAAGAGCGTTTCTCAGTAATTGCGAGTTGACGTGGCGCTCGGTTAGAAAAAAAAAAAAAAAAAAAAAAAATCCACTTTTATCGTAATTGCAATTATTTCCATTTGTCTTAATATTTCTGCGAAATCTGTGCGAGCTTTAATGAAGCTGCACTTTTCCGACGGTAAAGCTGTTTTGTTTCGCGAGACGGATGAAGTCCAACAGTGACGGATGACCAGAGTTTCCGTAGACACGCGCATCCATCCCGCGGGCGCGATGTACCCGAGGATTATTTCCCAGGAGATTCACGGCGGAACGTGGCCGACTGACGCGACGACGACGATCCATACAATTACGCAGACGTAACGTCATCCGCCATAATTTATACGCGCGTCGGACCGACCGCGACAATGGGACGACACGAAAAAGAGAGGAAAGACGATCCATCTCGTCGCGACTAAAAGACCCGCGATTGAGAGCGCGACGTAATTTACGACGAACAGGAGGAAAGACGAGGAAAGAGGCTACGCGGTCTTTTATCTGTCGAGGCATCTACAGATTACTTTCTATACTCTAGCTAACCCCGAGATTTTGACGTTTTTTTGTCGACTGACTGTTCGAGATCCGAAGACCGTCGCGCATTTCTCGATATCTTCCGATATCGCGCGACTGCCAGATCGAGAATCCGACACACCTTTGTGCGAATCGTCGCTGCGCGAGCAGCCGACTGAATCTCCCGGTTTCCAAGTTTTTTATGCCGTAGAAAGAGAAACCTAAATCCACTGTCTGGGAAAATGACAGACATGGTAAGGTGTTCGAGTAAGGTGTTGCGATGTAGGAAAAGTGAAACACCGCGCCGTGCGCGGCGAACGGTACTTTTCTATCGTATCCTTTCTCTCGTTCTTCACACTCGTTTTATAAATTGCAACCAGTGAGCAAAACGACGGCGTTTATAAGACGAAGGGTGGGGACAACGTGAATAAGAGAGAAGAAAAAGAAGAGAGACGTATGCATTGACGGCGACTCGATGAAACCGGACTGTGGCGAGGAGAAACGAGAGAAGACACGGAAAGAGAGAGGCATCGGCCTCGCGAGCCAAACGATCATGAACGGACGATCGAAAGGGAGAATACTCGAGGAGAAAAGAGGGGAGAGGATATCGCGGGAAGTTGAAGGGAGAAGAATCTCGTCCTTTTGCTGTGCAATTTGCGCGAGAGATCCATGCAGGTATCAGCGAAGAGAGTAACTCGAGGTCGAGCGAGCGATTTCGAGAAAAGTCGACGGCACTATAAAACGACCTTGACTTATGAATATCTTTTCCACAAGTTTCTTTTTTTTTTTTCTTCCAGAATGGGATTTACTTTTGTGTACAAACATAAGGATGTATTGACACTTACACAAAAAGATTTTCTTACGGCCGATTTCTTCAGATCTCTCGATAAGCTATCCTCTAGATAAATTCCTCTGAGAACCAATAAGGAGAACCAATTTTGGGAGATCTAGATAAAGTTATCGAAAACTTATCTAGAAGTGAAAAAATTGGCTGCTACACCAACAGATACATGAAACTAACATCTGGTCAAACACAAAGGTCTTGAATTTCTTTTACAGCGGAGATAAGTAATTATCTCGAGTAAACTTTGAAAAAATTGCGACAACTGTTTTGAGAAACGTGATAAATTTTTGGAATGTGTTAAAAATGTATAAGCAGTATTGTGTTGCCGACTCTCTGTTAACATCTCCAAATCGCATTTTATATCTTCTAGAATGTAAAAACTAATTAAATTGCTACTATCTAATTGAATATTGACACAACAAAGATGATTGAAAAGAGTATAGAAAACAGTTCTAAGAGCAAAATTGCTATTCTGCTAAGTTCGCGTTTGTACAAGTTGAAAAGTTCAAAAGTTAATCAGAGAAACAGTTCAATTTCCAAATGAAAAGACGATAGTAAACACTTAATTAAATATATAAAATACATTAAAAACCATTTAATTAAATAAAACATTTAATTAAATAAATTAAAAACATTTAATAACGTATAAATTGTTTACACTAATTATTTTTTATCGACTCGTTTAATTTTCAAGATAATTTTCGCGTTTTTCTTTGAATCGCTTCAAATATTGCCGACATTAAGTGTGAGCGATCGTTATCGCGAATTTGCCACAGCCGTCAATGATTCATCGCTGACGAGTTCGCGTGCTTCCGCGATTCGATCCGGGCCAGACACGATTACAAAAGGATGCCCCGATGCAATGCGCGTCGTGTTCGCGGAACTCACGGAACCGTGTCGATGGAATATCGCGCGCGCAACAGGACGTGTATCGTTTCGTCGGGAACAAAAGCGAGAGAACGCGCACGAAAACCGGCCCCGGCGGCAACGAAAACCGCCCGACGGTTGGCGGTCGTTTCGAATTCGAACGAACGCGGCGAGAACGGGCAACGCGACGCATAGCGGTGCGACGCGGCGCGCCGTTTCAAATTCAAACTCCCGGTGCGGCGTTAATCGCGTCCGTTTGCGTCAAACTTCACATCGAATTCCAGAGAGCGGTGTGCCACGGCGGTTAACCACCTGCTGAGTGTACTCGCGTGCTCTCACTTATATGTGTGTCGGTTTCTCTCTCTCTTTTTCCCTCTCTCTCTCTCTCTCGACTCTGTCATTTTCCGTGCCGAGATGCGGTGAGTGAAACGGTACCGCGCGAGCGGTCCCCGTGGGAAACCGAGAAATTTTGTCAATTCCCGCATCAACGCTTTATCGCGTGACTAATACTTTTGCATTTACCTGCTAGATTCAGAAGCAGTACGGCGATCGTGACAGAGGCGGGACGCTTATGACGAGCCATCGTGACGCGATCGTTGCCTCTGTTCAGTCTCCACCTGGTAAGACAGTCTTTCTCGCGTGTTCTCCAGCACTTCTCCGTCGTTACGTGTTTTATTTAGTTTTTCACTGACACCACACGCGTTTTTGAATTATTACGGTCGATCATTTACGAACTATTAAACGAAGAAATACATTTGTTGAGTTTCTTGTTATATTGACTGTGAGAGAACACGTCACAACGTCGCGCTGGCCGATCTCGAACTGTGGCGGGGAGCGCGTAGCGTACACGCTCGGCACGGCCTTCGGCGGCGCTCGGTTATCTCCGCCGACCGCACGAACCGCTCCGGCACGCAGGTGATGTGACGAAAGGAAATGCCGACCGATTCTTCTCGCCCGACCTTCCGCGGTCAGATCTTTCTTCCTCGATCGCGTCTCATATTTGTCTGTTTTTCGAGACATCCAAGATTCTAGATGTGGTATGTAAACACAAGGTATGTAAACACATTATTGATAACATTGTTTTAAATTATCTCTTTAGTTTCATTTCATTTCTAGCCACAATGCGGTGTACGAATCTTGGTCTGTTATCTTTCTTCCGTGACTATGGAGATTGTTTATCGCGATTATTGTAGAAAAGAAGAAAACTTGAAATATAAAGAATCTGAAAATTATAAATTCATTGTTAGTTTATATCCGAGAAAAACTTTGCTTTTTTTGCTTAAAATTTGTTTTGCTCGTTTCATGTCACGTAATAAATGTTTTTATACTCACGAAAAAAATTCGGATTATAACAAGTTAACGTTTTTCAAATACGAGTTTGACGAATTTTCGATTCGAAAACGCGTATTGACGAACGTTTGCATTAGGATATTACGATAAAATACGAAAGCTAGATAAATCGCAAATTTGTTGTGTAAGGTATACAATACACTTTCTTCCACAGATAAAAACATTAGCGTAAGGTAATTTCGTTAATGGAGTTAAACTGTATCGCACTCAGAATTATGCATAGATATGGATAATTTACTAAAGCACACACGCCCGCGCTCGCGCACACACCCGCACAATAACTGTTTTTGCTACACTTTTTTACATGTATACATTGAGAGGTTAAATTGCGTGCAACATGTTATTTACTGCTTAGATTAACGGTCAAACTGAACGTTAGTTTAGATTTTTTGCACGTAAAGAACCCGATATTAGCGAGTTCATATACGTAGAGGGTGTCTGAGAAATTGTATCACAGTTGAAGTGTGAAAATAGATCAATCAGAAAAGTGATTTATCAGTTTGCAAAATTTGAAATGTTTATTGAATTATTCATTAATTATTACTATCCAATAAGCGGGTGGAAAGCGATGGATTCTACAAGCGTATGATCTTCAGTTATAAAAAAAACAGCTTATCTCATACAACTAATCTCTCAGCAACGAAAGGCGGAGCAAACAAGCGCCATGTGATACAGTTTCTTGCGATCAGCTGATCTTCACGACACAACACCGTGAAAATTGTACACGCTTAAGTACAGAGTTCGGACCATCGCTTCCCACGTACTCACTGACTCACATTAATTATTTACTAACTCAATAAATATTGAGAATTTTGCAAAATGATAAATAATCTTATAAATAATCCTTAATAAATAATCCTTCTCTCTGTTCAGATTGATTCAACCTATCTTCACACTTCAGCTATGTCAAAATGTTTTAGACACTCTGTATATGTATACATATATACATATATATATATATGTATATCAACCTTTCCGTCTTCGTTTATTTTACTTCCTACAAACGGACGGTCTCTGCATCGTACGCTCGTAAACACGTAACACTTTCCCAAACGAATATAAATCTCTCGTCGGCAAGGGAGTTTTGTTTATACATATAGACCGTATACGGCAATCTTGTTTTCGGAATTTATTTCGAGTTCATGCTTCGCCCGCATATATGCAAAAATCGACGATTTATGGCAGCAGCTTATCCAGTCGCGATACATAACGCGTTGCAATACGGATGTCAATGCAACTAGCATTCCAGTATAATAAAACCTGAACACGCTAATCAACTCAACGGTGCGATAAAGAAAAAAAAAGTTATGACTAATTGATTGATATCAATAAAAATAAGTCATATGACTTATTTTTGTCTTCGGAATGAAGAGTTTAAATTCATTCTCGATTACGAAAGAAGTTTCATTTATTTTCGTTAATTATCTTTAGAGTCGCGATAAGATGTTGCTGCATCGAACATTTATCTCTGTGACAAACTATTAAAGCAAATAACATTACGGTAAATATAATACAGTAATGTTAAATTTATATATTTGTGAGATATGAGTTTTTTTTTTAACCATATAATATAATTTACATAAAAATTTTAACGCGATTAATTTAGCTCTTTCATCTATTTCATTCAACAAATCCTTTCGCCCGGTTTGAGGTTTATGACACACGCGACGTCGTTAAAGAGCTTTCCTCGCGCGCGTTTATATACAGCGATCGTCGCCTGTGATCCCGAAGATTGATAGCGCATCTGTACCTGGCGCGCTACAAACACGCGCAAATATTGCCACGGCGTTAACGATAGGTCCGTAATTACGTCTCCTGTGTACACAATTACTCGAAAGACGAGGGCTTACGGCGCGCGAATGGCACGGCTTATTCCGAGTTTGCCGCGCTCGGAAATGGCTGGGAAATCGAGGTCGTCGCGTTACAGGGAAAAGGAGAAAGGACGAAAGTTTACCTCCGAAAGAAACTAAAACTAAACCCGTCCCGACATCGAGCTCGATAATGAAAGTCTTAATACGACGTATTAACGCGCGAAAACGTTTATTGCACGATCGTTGTGACGCGCGCTTTGTTAATCCTGGTGGCGAGCCAAATCAATTGGATTGCTCCGATTGCTCGGCGACGTCACAATCCCGACGACGATGTGCCTCGGTCACTTCGACGCGGTCTCGAGTGTGTCTTCTCCTCTGTATTTCGAGAAGTATACAAATCCTATCAGCATTTACGACCTCCACCTTCTCTCATTCTTCTTTCTCTCGAGCACAACCTTTCTTTTTCAAATAAACCCACCGCGACCCTCGCCATCGAACGGTTCACCCGAGATGGACCCTTGTGTCTCGCGAGAAAACACGGTTGTGTCTTACGATGATAATCCGAGAGCCGAAGGAGAGGAACGTACGGTCCAAAAAAGACACGGACGATCGAGGCTTCGCTTGTTTATCATTTGTCAACGGACTGTTTACATAGAAGCGAACCTACAAATCGTGAAAGAGATGTGTCTCTCACGCCTTTTTCCCGCGCAAAAAGTCGAACAATGACATACATTCTGTGTCATCATCTCTGTATCTTTCTCACTACTACGATCGATCGTATGGCAATAAAAACCCCCGCTAGAGAAGACGATTGATGCGAAGTTAAAATCTGAGCAAGTCATCTTTGTCAAATTTCGGAACAAAATACGAACGAGAGCTTTGTCATGCAAGAGATTGTGATCGTCAATCATAATTCCTTATTGTATAACTTCTCCGTAGATAATGACGCGAAATTGAATGTTCATAGATAGTTCACGAGTATAAACAAGAAAAGAAAAAAAAAAAAAAGAAAACTTACCGCATCAGATATTGTTTACAATTCACTAGCGAAAATGCCGACACGCGTATTCTCGCATGACAAATTTGTTTGAAGTAGAACAAAGCGTCTTTTTCGCCAAGATGATAAATCGTAATTCCCGCGCGACGTCGGTTGGTACACGGGCGCAAAGGTTTTATCATCTTAAAGCTGTTCCGGAGAGCGGCAGAACCCGTGCCATTCAGTGGTTTTCTGACGGCTTAGCGAGCATCGAAAAAGGTAGATGTGTCGGAGGAATAAAAGAGAAAAAAAACGCGAGGACGAGACCCCGAAACGTTGAACGACGCTTCGAAACGCTCATTTCCTTCTACAAGCGAGCCGGTTATTAAACACTTAAATAAAACTTTCTTGCTGCGTCAAAAAAAAAAAAAAAAAAACAAAAAAAAAACAACGCTTGTAGGCAAGAGAGGAGAGAAGAAGCGGATGAAGAGCGGGTGGGAGATGCGAGGAATAAATTTATGAGAGACAACTGATGCGCTGTTTCTACTCTTCTCCCTTCTTTCTCTTCTCTCTTCGAGATCTGTACTACTAAATTAAATATTTATTTCACGGCCTTCTTTCGGCGAAGAGAGTTGGCTCTTCTCAAGAAATAAACGGGAATATTTCGTTTCATCGAGTTGCCGTTTATTGATTGCCAGGTTGAAATATGAGAGCTTTTCATTCTCCGAGTTTAATTTACGATCGACCAATCGAGTTGTTGACGTCAGGTATAATGATGCACATTACGATCCATACATTTATAAAAGAACTCGAGGAAAACAAGCGAGCGAGATTCCCTAACGACGTAGAAGTCTGCGAATTGGATTTTTGATTCGAGAGAGATATTCAAGGTAAATTCGTGAAAATAAAACTGTCAATTTCTGAAATGGAATTCGAATCAAATGACAAGAGAAAGTGGAACAAAAATTTGAGAAATCTGATGCACACGCGAAATCAAATTTTATTTTAATTTGCATGTGACTTCTGATTTGCTAGAGCGTTTTTTTCTCGAATACCACAAAATTTTAGAAAGAAAAAAATTTAGTACATTTTTTTTCAACGTCGAGTCGACGCGTCGCGCAGCTTTGTGGTTTCCTTTCGATGTTCGGAAAATTTGTATCTTTTTTCGTACGGATTATACAATTACGTAATTACCGACATGCGCGACACAATGGTCGCTCTTTGTCAGTAGAAAGAAAACAGTTCGAAGAGGATGAGGAGGAAGAAGTACGAAGAAAACGCAAGAGCGAAACGAATTGTCGCGATGAATCATTCTCAGTATCAATCTTGGAGGAGGCAACTCCGGAAAGAAAGTAGATGAAATAGTACCTTTCACTGAAAGGGGAGGGACGCAGCTGCCGGCAATTTTATCCTCGACAGAAAATTCGGATTCTGGAAATACGACGGAGATGCGCTTACATTCGTTTCTCGCGTTGCACAACGGCCGCTTCATTTTAGCTCGCGTGTCTCGGTTAGACTTATATTTCCTCGGCGGAGAGAGAAACGTCAGTAACGGGACGACGTTTCTGTTTTTCCATCTAATGCGACTCATTGGAATAGAGTTTGCGATTAGTGACGATTAATTGTTCCCGAACAATTGCGGAACAGCGCGCCGGTGCGCCGGCAATTTCCCG